GTGTGTCTGCTAAACGAACCACATTACCTCATCCTGGAGCTGATGGAAGGAGGAGACCTTCGTTCTTACATGAGAAAAGCTCGTCCTACAGCTGTGAGGCTTTGTTTTAATATATGAGGTGCTTTTCTTACTGACTAGCACTCACATGTTCTTATGTCTCATAGAGCCATAAAGAGCTACTGAACCTCACCAGCCTCCTGGACATCAGTTGGGATGTTGCCACAGGATGTGCTTATTTAGAAAGGATGCACTTTGTTCATAGGTAAAGATATGCTCATGCTAATGCTCACAATGCCAGTGTCATGTCTTTGATTCCCAGGGAATGCGTTAACATATGAAATGTATGTGACTGGAATGCAGTGTAAATCACTTTGGATAAAAGTGCCTGCGAAATGTGTAAATGTTAATGCATCTAAATTAAACTTTATTTAATATGCACAGGGATATTGCTGCAAGGAACTGTCTGGTGTCAGTAAGAAGCTACACAGACCCAGAAAGGGTTGTTAAAATAGGAGATTTCGGATTGGCCCGTGACGTGTATAAGAACGACTACTACAGGAAGAAGGGTGAAGGTCTGCTTCCTGTTCGCTGGATGTCACCAGAAAGCTTAACAGATGGGATTTTCAATAAATATTCTGATGTCTGGTCAGTATCATGAGTCTTCTTGTTGCCATAGACTCTTGGAAAATAAATTGTTCTATATTTGCATGTATGGTTTCATGAAAAACCTTTAACATCCATGGAACCTTTCCATTGCACAATGAATGAGTTATATTGGAAAGGGTTCTTTAGATTATAAAAAAAAAATCTTCACACTCCAAAAAAAGGTTCTTTTAAGAACTGCTCATTTTCTTATAATTTGCACGTTTCAGGGCATTTGGTGTGCTCTTATGGGAGATTATGACATTAGGAAAGCTACCATATCCTACATACACCAACCATGAAGTCTTAAGCCATATCAGTACAGGTGCGCGACTGCCTTCGCCAGCAGGGTGTCCACAGAGATTGTAAGTGATATTAGTAGATGATTTCAACAAATACTTGATTGAATGTGAAGACAAAGATATAATATTTACTTTGAATGAACATGGATGTTATTACTGCTTTTTAGGTATAATCTGATGATGAGCTGCTGGAGCAAAGAACCAACTGAGAGGCCAAACTTTCAGTATCTTGAGGAAACCCTGAGTAAAATGAGAGATTATGAGGCGGATAAAAGAGCAAACCATAACGGAGCCTCAGGTCATGTGAACCAAGCCTACCAAGAAGATGGTATGATCTTAATTTCTTCATATAAAATATACAAATATGAATCAAATGTACAGATTTGTGCACAGATTTTTGACTCATTACTAGATGCACCTCTTATGGTAACTGTATGTGCTGGTTTCTTTAGAAGAGGAGGTCTGCACTGGTGTGGATGAAGATGAAGACCTGGAAACTGGACTGTCTCCTGTGCTCAGCAATGAGGGACTGAATTACTTGATGTATCGAGCTGAGAGCCCGGACAGTGTCCAAACAGACTCATCGACACCCACCGAAGATAGATAAGACTATAATTGCCAGTGTTGAAATCGCTGGCATCCCAAGTTTGCACAAATTGTAAGCTGGACCTCACGTTGTAACCTTCTTCCTTGTAAATACTGTATAAAACAGCAACAATGAAAATAATAATAGTTGTATTTCATGTATAAATGTATAAAAAGTTATATCTGTTTTTCCTAAAATAAGTTGAAATTTTGTTATTGGTTGAATTGGTTAAATTATGCAAACAGCCAAATGAATGGATGTTGTATTTTTGATGTATATGTATAATGTAGAGTTGAATGAGATATCAACATTATGTAGCTAGAACAACCAGGTTTCTATTTCCTGCAAGAAATACCAGTATAGGTCATTCCTGGGATTCAGTGCCCTTTGGACATCATAACACTTATAAAATGAAACACATTTTTTAAATGAATTCTTGTGAAATCATGCAAGGGAGCTGTAAAACATGTGAAAAATAAGTTTGGTATATAAATATGTAATATACAACCTTGGGTATATACGTTTAAGCAATTATGAGCCAAATTTAATGAGGAGGACAAAAAATGTCCACCCTGTTAGGGACAAATGAACAATAATTTGAAAGATTTATGAATATTTAAAATGTAATAAAAGTTTAAATACACTACTTCTTCAACTTAAACATCAATTGCTGTCACTGTCAGATTAGATTAGATTTTCAGACTTAACAGGGTGGACACTTAACATGGTGGACATTTTGACTGAAAATTAGCCATTACACTAAGTCTGAAGTCTGAAACACAGAAGGTCTGTCAAATAACAAATTGAATGTTTTTCAAAAATGATACTTTTACAAATACGAATTTCTATAAAAAAAAATCATTTTCCCTTTAACAGCGTGGACATGTTGAAGTTGACCATATCAGATTGGAAAGATAAAATCAGTAAAAACAGACAATTAACAAAACAGAGGCTCTCACTCACAACAGTCCCTAGTTGTTTTCCCTCCAAGGAAATTATATCAGCTGTTATGTTTTTTAAAAATGATACTTTTACAAATACGAATTTCTATTAAAAAAAATCATTTTCCCTTTAACAGCGTGGACATGTTGAAGTTGACCATATCAGATTGGAAAGATAAAATCAGTAAAAACAGACAATTAACAAAACAGAGGCTCTCACTCACAGTCCCTAGTTGTTTTCCCTCCAAGGAAATTATATCAGCTGTTTGATAAGATGTAAATTCCTTTTTCCAACTTTCATTTAAAGGGCCAGTAGTTCGAAAATAACAGGATGGACAATATTTTGAGGGACAAGCTAAAAAGCTTTTTCTTTTTTTTTTTTTGTTGCTTTTTTATGAATTTAATATTTGGAAAATATATATACATTAAAGAAAACTATTATTGAAAAATCACTCATATAAGTGTTGTATTCATTAACAGAATGGGAGACACAGACATAGGAAAATTTGTGATATTTAGTGGTTTAAAATGCTGTAAAATATTTAGAATTATATATAAATAAAATCTTAAATATGCTTCAAATGTGATTTTTACATCAAAGACAACTTTAAAATGGATGTTGTTGAAAATTTTAAGGCAATAATAGTTTCTACCAACCTTGAGCTGTATTACCACTAAATATTGTGTTTTTAATGTCAACAGATTAGCATTAAACCGATTCTAAAAACTCAAGTTTATTGGGGTCCAAAGACCCAGATAAGGGGATGACAGGAGCAGGAATATATATCCCTGACTTGGATATATTCATAAGTAAAAGATTATCATCTGAATTATCAATATATTCTGTTAAAATGGTCGCTATTATAGTGGGACTTATGTGGGTAGAGGAAGTGGCACCAGACAGAGCTCTTGACTCTGACTCTGCTTCTGTCTTAACTTCATTATCCAGCCACCAGTCATCTAGAGAAGATTTAATGAATGAAATTTGAATGTTAATATGGTGAATTCAAAGGAAAGGAATTTTAATAGGATTTTGTTGGGTTCCAGCCCATATAGGGGTAGTTGGGAATGAAATAAGTGATGAGCTGGCTAAAAATGCTTAAAAAAAAAAAAAGGAAATTGATATTAATGTTCCATTAGGTAAATGGGGAATTAAAAGTATTACTAAGAGGAATGTTACAAGAGAATGGCAAGGAGTGTGGAATTTAGATTATAAGGGAAGTCATTTATATAAAATCAAAAAGCAGATGATTGTAAGAGGAAGGAATAGGAAGGAAGAGGGGATAATAGCTAGATTAAGACTGGGTCGTTCAGGGCTGAATGGTTCATTGTTTTTAATCGGTGTGCATGTTAACGGCTTATGTGAATTTTGTGGTGAGAAAGAAACAATTGAGCATGCAATATATGAATGTATAACGTATAGTGAGAGGAAGAAACTAATAGCATATCTAAAGGATAAAGGGAAGAATAATAAGGATGTGGGATATTTATTGGGATATGAATTTAATAGTGATAGAACAGGATATAGGATTTTATGAATTTTTTTATATAGCACAGGACTAGATTAAAAAATATAATATAAAAGATGTTCTGTTCCGGTTTGGAGTTTAAGGTGTTCCGTGTGGAGATACCTGGACTCTTGATGAGCTTCAGAGTTGAGATAGAACAACTAATATAATAAAAGAAAATCCTGATTGCATAATAGCACAGTAGGTGGCGATGTGCGCAAAGATTGCAACTCGCCATAAAACCAGTTTATTGCACAAAAAATCACTCCAGATGATAGGAAGACATGAATCTGGTCAATGTAATCATTGTGGACTTCCAGAAACTGTAGAGCATGTGCTGATTAACTATAGGGCATATGAAAGGCCCTACAAAAAAACATATATATATATATATATATATATATATATATATATATATATATATATATATATATATATATATATATATAATTCCTAGTGAGTATCTTAGAGTTATAACTCAGATGGAATCAAAATTCTATTTTTAATTAAAACATTTAAAAAACTTTTTTTTTAAAAATCAAACATTAAAAACAGCAATCATTGTGAATTGGATACCACAATATGTTAATAAAAATATGAAAATGGATATTCATTTTGAAGCTGAAAAACAATTGCCAGAAGTAAAAAGGCTAAAGTTAGCATATGAACTGAACTACTCCACAGTCGCATGACTAACTTTGCATGACTTTAACTAAGATTCTGATAAATCTCATGAGTGAGGTATTACATTTTATGTTGTAGATTAAACATGAAAATATCTTGAGGTTGTATTAACCACAGACCTTATTTCAGGCATTTATCCAAAAAAATATATATATATAATTTTTTTTATTATTTTTTTTTATTTTTTTTATTTTTTTTGGAATTAGCATTTCCCTTGATATCATCGTCTCACACTCCGTCCCAATAGGTGGCGGAATATGCACCAAAAGCTGGTTTGCCAACCGCAATTAAACATCATCATAAGAAGAAGAAGTTTATTGCACTGTGATCATTGACCCCTGCCCGACGTGTGGCGCTCTCGTGTCACGTGACCGCCCTGGGTGGACGCAGCATGGCGTGCGTGAGTGCGGAGCTCCTCCACAAACTCAACTTTATTTGCACTTAGTTCGTCTTTATATTCAACCCATCAAAGGGGACGTGAACGTATTGAAAGCTGGAATACCGCTCGCAGCATGGACGAAGCGAATAAACTCCAGTTCCCGTCCCTGCCCGCCGCCAAAGAAGAGCAGCTGGTATGTTATAAACATATTAGCTCAGTGCTAACAACTGCTGGATTACAGCCATTCTTCAATCTGTCTGTTTCAAAGCAGTACATGTTTGACTAGTGTGTGTAAAAGCATGAATAAATACAGCGGTTTGAGCTGATATATTTAATATATAATAAAGCTCTTTAATTAACTCGTTGCTCTGAGCAGTTAGCATGTGCATCCAGTAGCAGTATACTAGAATAACAACAACTCAGAAGTCAAAGTCATTCATATATCATTGCAAAAGACAACAAGCACAGTCAGGAAAAGTAGTATGGGTAGTATTTATTATGATACTGGGGATCATATTTGAATAATCCGATAATTCATATGCATAACCGATTTTATTTTGTTTGCAAATAAATCATTCATCACTAACCTGCTTTACGATACAAATACGGAGTATAGTTAACGTTAACTAAAAATATTTTAACCCGTTTAGTTGACAATATACTCCCCACCCCCAAGACTTTTAACTTAAAGGAATAGTTCACCCAAAAATGAAAATTTGCTGATAATTTACTCGCACTCAGGCCATCCAAGATGTAGATGAGTCTGTTTCTGTATCAGAACAGATTTGGAGAAATTTAGCATTACATCACTTGCTCACCAATGGACCCTCTGCAGTGAATGGGTGCCGTCAGAATGAGAGTCCAAACAGCTGATAAAAACATCACAATAATCCACACCACTCCAGTCCATCATTACTTTCATACTCTGTTTTGGTCTAAGTTGAACACTAAAATTACAGAAGTGATTAAGTGGGAGAAAAAAAAGTAAATATTGTTTATAAATGTCTGTCAAACCGATTATTGGTCTAGTCTTGATCATATGTAGGTAGATGCTGATAACAAGGAGTTGTGCTGCAGTTTATGATTCTATGGGTGAGGTAATACTATTACTGTAAGAATGCTTGTAAAAACTGATCATCAGAATTTGTAATCTCATTTCTGCAGGACTGGGCATATACAATGAGAAGAGAGATGCAGGTGAGTGATAATGAACAAACTTTGCACATTGTTGATATGGCTTCTGTACTGATATAGTACTTGTGGTACAGTAAATACTTGTACGTTGTTGTGTTAGTACAGACTTTCAGTAGACATTTTTTCAATGGTGAGAATTTTTTTCCACCACCTTCAATAGAATTTTTTTGTATACATTATATTCGTTGTGTCAAAATCTTAATAGACACATTTCATACCTAGGGTTGGGTACCGAAACCCTATGTAACCGGTATGTACTAGAACCGAATCAGAATGCAGATTTCGGTGCCACTTAAATGCTTGAGCGATCTATTGAAATATTTGTCCTGGTTCTCTGAAATGGACGTAAGACGCATGGGCGTCGCTAGGCCGTTATTAGCTCCATAAACTCTACACAAATTTGTGATCGCCTCAGAGTCAGTCCTCTTTAAATTTCATATGAAAACAGCGGCAGACTTTTCGTCTCCTCCCCGTCTTTCAGCGCGCTCTTCAATTCCGCAGACCGTGGCGGCGCAGCGCGAGCGGACTCAAACATAGGACACAAGGTGTGTGTTTATCGATGGATTGTTATAATACCTGTATCTGTGCAGTTCTTTGTCATAAATACAGTTTACAAAAGGTCACGAGGGAGCAATCGGTTTCCCAGCTACTGTAAAGTTTTCGCTGCATTCACCGTTTATCACACCACAGCTGTTTCCTCCATATGATGGTCATATGATGCAATTTCAATTTTTCCTTTCTCTTTGGAGTGTTACAAGCTCTTGGTGCGTAAAGAAGATCTGTAACGTTGTAAAGACTAGTCTCAAATCCAAAGAGATATTCTTTATAAAAGTTAAGACTTGTCCATGCCCTCCTAAAACGCCACGTTTAAACATGTCTACGTCACTGTGTGGGAAGATTTGCATAACACCGCCCAAATGTTCACGCAAAGAAAGAAGGTGTAACTTTTATTCTCGCTGTAGTATTGTTGCCACCGCCGCCATGTTGTGGATATGCCGTGTGTTTCATTGTGAAAGCGAAACTACTTTGTTTGGCCTTCCAAAAGAGGACGATATCCGCTTCGTCATGCCTAGAGAGACATGGTTTTATGTTTACGCGGCGCAATACGCAACGCAAAGCGTAAAAACACATTATAAGTCATTACAACCAGTAATTATGTCCCCACTGGATGCACCAAATGCCTCGTTTATAATGGGTTTTATTGGTTTTGACTCGTCGTGCCGGGACACGGCATCACAGTATGGTAAGGGGCGTAACATTTCCGTCTCACGCTTGAGGTATTCAGCCAATCACAACGCACTGGATAGCTGGCCAATCACAGCACACCTCGCTTTTCAGACCGATGAGCTTTGTAAAAATCGACTCGTTTCAGAAAGGCGGGGCATAGAGGAGAAACAATAATGTACAGTATGTGGAAAATAATGTGTTTTTTTAACCTTAAACTGCATAAACACATTGCATTACACCAAATACACCAAATAATGTTCTTTTTAGCAACATCATATGACCCCTTTAACACATATGAACGCATACTTTATAAAACGATCATAGAGCTATTTTCATTTGAAAATTTTATATTTAATATAAAACATATTACAGTGCATGTGGCATACCATACAGTAATTCACAGAACTGATTAAAGAAGGTGACAGACAGTACTGTCAATTCACTCATTTTAACTAAAAATCAGAGTGATTGACAGAGATACAGTAAAAACATTGTGTGGTTTTGTATTAAATAATGACCCAGATCGTGAAATACATTTATTAGCCTTAGAGTAAGGGAAGCACAAATCGGGAAATGAGAGCATCCAAGGAGCATGTGAATGCTATGTATATTTATTTTTTATATTTTTAATGTTCTTTAATGTTATCCATCGTTTTTTATGTGGCTCTTTTTAAAATAGTATCGGTTCAGGCACTGTTTAGGCACCGGTACCATTTTAAAAGTATCGATTTGGCACCGGTATCGTAAAAAACCCAATCGGTACCCAACCCTATTCATACCTCATTCTCAACAAATGATCAGTTTTACTAAAACTGTCTGATGTAATGATTTAGGAAATCCTCCCAGGCTTGTTTCTTGGCCCGTATTCAGCTGCTGTGAAGAGTAAGGTACAGTAGAGATGATCTGTTCTTGGGCATCTTGATGAAAGTTATCTATGCCTGGGGTTTCCTGTAATAATTCATCTTCTCTTTCAGCTCTCAATGCTGGAGAAGCAGGGGATAACTCACATTGTGTGTGTCAGACAAGACATTGAGGCCAACTTTATAAAGCCAAACTTTCCCCATAAATTTAGGTATTTTGATTTCTGGTTTGTTCTGTGTGGCACTTCAGTATAAAGCTCCACTATTTGTAACAGCTAATTTACTTTTTTACTTGTATGTAGGTACCTTGTTTTAGATATAGCAGATAACCCTGTGGAAAACATTATTAGATATTTCCAAATGGTAAGCTGACCTTTTTTTATATATATACAGTATATATATTTTATATTATTAATACATTATTTGGTCTGCGATTCTTTGATCTAATTATGATAACCTGTTTTTCTCTTTATAGACTAAAGAATTTATTGATGGATGTTTAGAGACGGGGGGTAATGAATGTTTCTCCATATTGATCTCTATTTTTAATACTATATTTAGCACTTTCTCTGTTCTGATGCTGGGTAAAAATACGTTTCTTGTAAAGAAAATGGATTGTCATTGTCGGTAACATTAATTGTATTTACTTATTGTATCATCCAATTTGTGTAATGTCTTGCAGGAAAGGTACTTGTTCATGGAAATGCAGGGATTTCAAGAAGGTATGCTAAAACTAAAGTCCATAATCATCTTTTTTTGATGGTTATAAAATATTTTTACGGTCTCTTTTTTTTTTTTTTTTTAAAGTCATTTATAAAATATCTCAAATCTCTCGATTTAATTTGATATAACTAATTATTTTTTTTACAATCTTCCGTCGAATCGCGATCTCGATTCCATTTCGATTTATCGTGCAGCCCTAACTGGTACCATACATCAGTTATCAGCTGATGTTTTTTTCTTTTTTTTAATTATCAGTATTGTATATTTAAGAAATCTCTCATTGAGATTTCCTTTGCTGTCAAAATTAATCTTTAAAAACACTTGCAATTAATACTGTTAAATATTTAGCAGTTTTCAAAATGTATAGTGTTATGATGCCTCAATTCACTTGTAGCATTTACAACATTTGTTTTAGATTTCAGGTTTTTTTTTTAATCTTGATGAAATAGTGCAGAATTGTATCTCTCGCTTATAGCTTGTACTCTTATGGTAAACTTTTTTTTTTTTCTTTTTTTTTTTGGATTGTGAATCTGCTTTTGTTCTTGGCTCCATTTGATTAATGGTTATTTTAGTAACTCACTTTGGATAAAAGCATCTGCTAGATGAATAAATGTAAATTAAAATTTATGATGATAAATAACTGGCTTAATTGTACTAACTGAGAGCTGTAATTTCTACTTTAGTAATGTATGAAACTAGGGTCATTATACATACTGTGGCCGTTCCTAATATCATCCGTCTTTCCCTACAGGAAGTTTAAAGCGAACACTAGAAGAGGATGAAGATTTCGGGAGTATGCAAGTTACAGCAGCACAAAATGGATAGGCTTTACTAAAAAAAAAAAAAAAAGTGCTTAACCACAGTGGACTTTTCTTTTTACATTTTTATTGGGATTAAAAATGTAAATATTTGTACAGGGGTTGGGAGGGAGAGACTGCTCCTCGTGACCCTTGGAGCTGGGGAAGATTTGATATTTTTTTCCTTCTTGAGCTATATGCACTGAAATGTTTTGCAGTTTTATAGTATTTAAAGCATTTTGCATTTGCAGCGGGACAGTATTGCAATAATGCACTTTTGATACTTGAATTACTGTTATTTTGTTGGACGGATTTGGGTTGGGAGGGGAGGGGATCAAAGAATGGGACTGTCACTGCCATAGAAATGAAATGGTAGGATGAATCAATCTTGAAAAGCTAGGATGAAAATGGGGAAATGAATTCAGACTGAGGTAAGGAAAGATACGTTTACCACTGCTCAATAAAAGATGGCTACTTTATATCTTGTGTTTTCAGTGTTATCAATCCCCGGTGTAAAGATATGACCGTTTATGACAGGACTGTTGGGTGTGGATAGATTTAGAACGATAATCCAGTTTCATTGAAATGCATACATAAACTTGAGATCTATCACTGATTTTTAATGTAACATTTACAATCCATTCACCCACTTGTCATTCAATGGTTTTACATCAATTTTAAAAATATAACAGTTATAAAAGCACAAATAACATCACTGCCACATGTTTAGCTGTTGATTGACAGATGAGACAAAGCATTTGAATGCCGGCTCTCGGTGAAAGTACAAAAATAAAGGCATTTAGCATACAAAGATATGCTTTCATTGCATCAGGATGTATTTCTAAACAATTTATTTTCCTTCATCTAAGTTTTACACATGACTAATAATTATCACCAGTGGCTAAGACTAAAGCCAAAATTGAAAAAATACATGAGCATCATAAATGTAAAACGTTTTCTATGTTGAAGACTAGTACCTGCAAGAGAAACTGAGAATAAAGCACAAAACACCGCATTACCATTTTAAGTAAAAGAGGGAAATGTGCCTCAAACTTTTTTAAATAGTATATTTGGAAACAAAATGGGTTTGAAACAATTTTTCCCTCTTCAAAAAAAAAACTTGTATAGAAATCTTTACATTAGAAAATATTCAAGTATGTAAGCCCTTCTTTATAAGTTATAAAAGCACAAATAACATCACTGCCACATGTTTAGCTGTTGATTGACAGATGAGACAAAGCATTTGAATGCCGGCTCTCGGTGAAAGTACAAAAATAAAGGCATTTAGTTCACAAAGATATGCTTTCGTTGCATTAGGATGCATTTTAAAATAATTTATTTTCCTTAATCTAGGTTTTACACACAACTAATGATTATCACCAGTGGCTAAGACAAGCCAAAATTGAGAAAATACATGAACATAATAAATAAACGTAAACTTTTATTCTATTTCTGATCTCTATGTTGAAGACGAGTACCTGCAAGAGAAAGTAAAACAAGTTAAAACCGTTCAATACGGCTTTCACAGATGGAACTCGCTTAGAAAATGAGAAACGCGAATCGAGTTTTGGTATTTTAAAGAGAGTAAAGCACAGCATTAACATTTTAAGTAAAAGGGAAATATGCCTCAAAGAGTTTTGTAAAGAGTATATTTGGAAACGGTTTGTTTTCCCTCAAAAAAATTTATAGAAATCTTTACATTAGAAAACATTCAAGTATGCAAGCCCTTCTTCTATACAAGAAAATGTTTAGTCTTTTCTCTTGGACAGGCCACAGTGTTTCTTCTTGTGGCTTTAAACCACACATTCTGTATATGATTTTCATACAGGTTTTCTGTTTCTATAGCAAGTTATGTGAAGTGAAAACATTTTAAATAGAAAACTGAATAACTTTTAAAGCAAGTGCTTGATGTTGACTACGGACATTTAGAAACGTTCATGAATATGCACTTTGTTCTGTGTTGTGAATTCAAAATGCTCATTTCAAAATATGTTGTTATTGTGACATAACTTGTCACCAAATTATCAAGTTTTTCTTTCTTTTTTTGCTGGCTAAAAAAGGTGCAAGTTGGAGGTAGTCCGATCTCAGAAAATAGAACCGATTAAGAGTTCTAAAGCAAACATTCTGTGATGTTCAAGATTCTTTTGGATTCAGTCAAAGAACCGGCACTGCATGTAAGTCTCATCTGAAGCGGAGTAGCCAAACTTCTTATAAAACTCCACATTTTTCGGCGCACACTCCAGTGTTACTTTGTAGCACTGCAATTTTTTGCTGAGGAGAGTCAATGTTGATACCAACCTAAAACACAAAAACAAAAGTATTATGTTCAAGGTACTTAGTTTTGAGACATATGTTGAAAGAAATACAGTATTCATGAATATATACTATCTGAAACTCATGATTAAAACTATTGTAAAAGTGTTTCTAAAAACCAAACCCACAGTTTTCCAAGCTGTTTCCCTCTGCATACGTCACTCACAACCACTTCTTCCACACGCCCCCTCTGCCGGGACAAACCCCCCCAAAATATTATAATATTGCACTATGAAAATAAGCTAAATTGTAAAATACGTATTTAAAGCCTAATAATTAAATATTAAGTCAGTTACCTTTGCACAAGCATGGATAAATTTGTGCTCTATGATGAGTGTTGCTGTGGCAACAATTTGTCCAAGGTTTGTGTCTTCCACCACGATCACATAATAGTCTCCAGATTTCTTCATATGTTCAAAATTTGCTAAAAAAAAAAAAGTGAGTATCTTATACTGTGAGATGAAGAACTGTGGGGTGATTTGCATTAGGAACATGCAGTACCTTTGAACTGTTCTTCTGTAACATCCCCAGCCTCTGTGAGCTGTGATAAGACCTTATAGAAGCCTAAAAAGGCAGAAAGACCAACATATGTTTATCATGATTGTTTGAAGAACTGAACATGAGTGGGCAGAATGCTGAACGGTAACCAGTACCTCGGTCTAGGTCAGCAGTACAGAGAGGACGGAGGACCAGACCTTCTCCGGGCTGAGAGGGAGAAATAGGGGGCGAGAAGGAGACGGTGTTGCTGCTCCAGTCCAGCTCTTGGAGCAGAGACGCATCAAACAGGGGAGTTTCGTTGAGCAACATTCCAGAGGCCCTATAATCAAATGACATTTTATACAAATTTATCATCGAACAGGAATCCCTGGCAATAAATGTGTACTACTGGCAACAATTTACTTGGACTTTGATCATTTAAACATTTACAATTCAAAGTCAAACTTCTGTTGGCCTAGTACGTTATTATAGCTAACTAAAACATAAACCATAAAAAAAAACGTTTTTGTTACTTGAAATAATCATTGACTGTAATAAAATAATTTAATAATAAAACATTAAAAAACTCATTTAAATTCAGCTAGCTGCCAAGGAAACATTTTTCATTTTCCTTAACTTTATTTAAATATTAAAGTTGAATTTAAATTAGTAAATTAAAATAATACTGAAATAAAAATTAATAAAACTATATCCAAATAAAACTAACACTTAAAACTAAAAAAAATATATACAAATTAATACATGTATTAATAAAAACTAAAATAGTATCTCGATACTAAAATAACACCGGACACACCTTACACAGATCTTTCTTTTCGAGGTGTGTTATTATTACAAACCATAAATCCAAAAGTATGACATAGTACACCGACCAGTTGTACAAGGCAAAGGTCACAATGCAGTGTAGAAAAAGTACACAATATTACGTCCAGGAATCATATTTTTGATTTCAATCTGCAGTTCCCTGGGGACGAAATCAACCTCCATTCTCGATCTGTTAATTCCCCAAATACCATCCGTATGTTCAATCAAATGTCAACAGAGCTCGCGATCAAACTGTATTAGATTCATGTAGCCTATCTAAGATCAATTTGTCATTTACTTACGGAGACATATGGATATTGACCGCTTGAATGAATCCAGTTACAGAGATCTTCAGTGTTCCAGCGTGACATACACACTTCCTCCTGCGTTATTATTTTTTTCCTCCAACACGATAAGTCCCGCCCTTCATCCAATCACTGTTTGCTGTGTTTGGTCCTGTCATTAACGACGCCTCAATTGTCCAATCACAGACTGGCTCGAAGTACCTCTGACCAATCAGCACAAATGTAGATCAAATGAAGGGCGGGGCTTGTCAGCTTGCGGGTATCGCTCCCTCCTCTCTCTGTCTGCGTGCGTGGAATATGACGTGGCGCGCGCTTAAGAGGGCGCGGTGGCGCAATGACGTTCGTATCCGTCTAGGAAAAGCTGTTCAGCAGGATAAATATAAAGTTTACAAACTGCTTCTGTGATCTTAGATGTGTTGAATATGAAAACCTAACACTGTCTGGTTCGACAAGACTGTTAGGATTGAAATTAAAAGGTGCCTGCCACGGTTCAAACCCTTACCAAACCATTTCTAAGGCTAATTACTAAAAAAGTTACTTCAGGTTTCGTTTGATGCCACATTATGACCCCTTGACAAATTGATATGGTATTTATGTGGATACAATGCTACTTTTTTTTTTTTTTTTTTTAAATGTAAAATATTATATATATTGTTATTACGGACATTAAATGATGCGATTTAAATTTTTCCTTTCTCTTTGGAGTGTTACAAGCTCTTGGTGCATAAAGAAGATCTGTAAAGTTGCAAAGACTAAAGTCTCAAATCCAAAGAGATATGCTAGGCCGCTGTGTTTTTCGTTGTGAAAGCGAAACTATGTGAGGGGCGTAACATTTCCATCTCACGCTTGAGGTATTCGGCCAATCACAACGCACCGGATAGCTGGCCAATCACAGCACACCTCGCTTTTTCAGACCGATGAGCTTTGTAAAAATCGACGCGTTTCAAAAAGGCGGGGCATAGAGGAGAAACAATAATGTACAGTATGTGGAAAATAATGTGTTTTTTTACTTTAAACCGCATTAACACATTTCATTACACCAAATACACAAAATAATGTTCTTTTTAGCAACATATGACCCCTTTAATGATTGCTTGGCTAAAATAAAATGTAAAATTTATACATTGCTTGCAAAAAAAAAAGTATCAGTCAGAATACATGTTCTTTTGACCAGCGGTTAGAGAGATTTGTGGTCTTGTTACTGTCTAGTTTTAAATGACTGCTTTCTAGTATCCTGTATTGCAGGGGTTAACAAGGCCATTCTAACCAGCACAGCCTTGACCCTTGGTTTCTTGTCTTGACCTCTTCTAAGGACAGGCTGTGTAAACTGCATACTCAGACATTCTCAGCAGCAGTTACTGGAATTCATCTCTCTTTATTGATTTTCTCAAGTGTCTAAACAAAAAAATTAATCATCTCTTCAAATGTTTTTAAGTAACTTTCAATAGATATCTGCCGGATATGAGTGTACAGAAAGGACTAACAAGAAATTTGAGACGAAAACACCTTCCAATGATCCCAAGTCGCATCCATGTACCTGCACTGTAAGCATTAAAATATTAAATTAAAACAGACCACAAAGCAGAAAAAAGAAAAAAAATCTTTCTCTGTGTCTGTCTCTCTCTCTCTCTCTCTCTCTCTCTCTCTCTCTCTCTCTCTCTCTCTCTCTCTCTCTCTCTATCTATACAGTATATTAATAGATTTCTCTTATTTTAAGAATGCCCTCCTGAACATTTAAAAATGTAATTTGCTAACAAATGAGCAAATAAGCCTTAATGATGTGCCTTGTCAATATGTAATTAATTTGCAAACAAAATTAGCAAACAAGGCTTCTTGGTGTGGCTTGTCAATATGGTGCACACGTTTGATGAAATAATGATGGTATAGACAAAGCACTTGTGACAATAGTAATTCCATAATGTGTCTCCTGTTCCTGCTTAAAAATGCTGCAGGCATCCTTAATAAGCTCAATAACTTGCATGAAAAGGGAAGCAGAGAGACAGCAGGTATTGAATGAAGCTTGCGGGAAATAGAGAGGCTGAGAGCACAAAAATGCCTGCAGAAAGCTGATATACTAGTTCACATGACTAAAGCATGGATCATTACATTGAGTGGAAGATGCAAATCATGGAAATACAGTCTGTTTGTCTTTAATGACTGTACACGGACAGAAAAATGAGACAGCAAATATTGGCCTTAATATTATTATTATTATTACTATTACAAGTTTATTGTTTATTAAAACAGACCAATATAGGGTTCTTGTCCAGTTTCATGTGTGTACATACAATAATTAATATGATGTTTAAGGACAAATTGCTAGTGAAACTAGAAGCAATCATCAAAAAAAATAATAATTCATAATATACAGTGCAGGTTTATGGAAAACTAGGAGGCAAGCTAGAGAGGTGTATATTTTAAATTCATTCAGTTAAAATTAATTCAGTTCCTCAAACTTATTTAGTAATTAAAATAACCCATGTAAGTTATTTAATACATTTACGATACAGAATTGCAAAAAACAAACAAAAAAATGAGCTTTGTTTTGATTGGGTATTTTTAATGTGTTGCTGTGGTTGTGTGGTTGCTAGGGTGTTGCATACAGGCTCGAGTTAAAAGTGCAAAATCTCTGTGATATTGAAGTACCAACATTGTTTGACTTCAAATGGGTTTCCCAAACACTTCCCAGTCTGCCATTGGTCAGTCAAACAGAGGTCAAACCAACAGAGGCAGACAAGCTAAGCAGGTAAGTTTAATTTTTTTGTGTGGTTTTGTAGTCCTGTTACCCCCTTCCCAATATGCACTGGGGCATAAATAATTATAGTTGTATTGTTTGACAGTTTGCCAGTTAATTTACACTGTTGTCAATTATAATATTGTAATGTTGGGAAATATTTGTTCCTTTACTTAAAATGATAAAGTTATTTGATTTTTTTTTGTGTGTGTGTTTCATGTAGCAAGTTTTGGGGTCTGTGTGTGGAATTGAAGATATTTTGAAGAATGTTGATAACCAAACAGTTACTGGTAGCCATTGACTTACATATGGACAAAAAAAAAACAAGGAAATCAATGGCTACCAGCAACTGATTGGTTGTTAACATTTTTCAAAATAATTTCTTTTGTGTTCAACAGAAGAAGGAAATTCTTACAGGTTTGGAATAACATGAGGGTGAGGATTATGACAATTTATACTTGTTAAGGTCTGTTAAATTCTACAAGAAGGGGAAAGAATATTATAAGAGACTGAATACAACGGTTCTTTATTGCTCGGACATCTGTAAGGCAAGAAAGGGGGTTAAGTGGAACAACTGAATCATTTGTGCCGCTACACATTGATCCGATCAACCACTTTTAACAGATCGCAAGAGAATTCATCTCTCAATTTCTTGGATGCCATCCTGCTGGCCTCACACACTTAAGAGAGAGAGACTGATTACAGTGCAAATGTAAGAAAACAAGATGCACAGTGTTCTTCTGAATAATTCATAGCTATACAGTAGCGTGCCTGTGATATTAAATAAATGAGAGTAAAATATTTTAACATTTCAGAATGACATCACCTAATGACTTCACAGCCATAATGAATTATTGAATTTATTTTGTAATCCATTTAGAAGGCCGGAAATGCATGATATTACTCTTGATATTTGATACTTTCTGGGTGATACCAAGAATGGACTCCATGACCAGCATCTGAAATGGGTGTCAAAAATTGCCTTTGTGCTTGCAAATGTTTGCCGGATGTTCCCAAATTAAAGTAGGGCACATATCAATCAATAAATCAATGAAGTAGAGCTCTCAGTGTCTGTTCAGAGATTTCCCATTTCCTTCCTAACAAGGTTGCCCTCGTAAATAGATGTCCGTTATTATTGACTAATTACATTTAGCTCATTGATTCATTGATGGTCAGTCAAAGTTCACAGTAACAGCTAATACATTTTAAAAGCTTTTAATGTTGTGGGCTTGTGGCTTATTTAAGGGATAGACACATTTTTGCACTTATTTTGAAAGTAAAAAAAGCCTATAATAATATAACAGCTATAATAGATATGATAGCCTAATACTGATATAGATTATACATCGTATACTCATTTAAAATTCTCAATGTCATTTCTTCAGGACAGCATATTCATTGTTGGATATGATAGGTTAACTGTCCATTGACAAAAGTACTCCTTCCGTCCAGTGAAGGGCAAGTATTCCTCTGAGGAATTGATACTTGAGAGGTTTTAAATTGGAGGGATGTGCTTCCTCCCTTCAGTTCATGCCGAGCTCTCACTGCACAAACTCCAGGCATGGAATAATTCATCACTCCTCTGTGAGGACGTCAGATTTTCCATCCATTCTGAAGGTAGGATACATTTGGATTTCATTCATATAAAAGGTAGATGTTTTTTGTCTATTAGTTGTTATGTTGTGTCTTTCTGTTACTTGTATATAGTTGTGATATGCAGTTATATACAAAGTATAGAAGTATATCCTTAGCACAGATGATCTGTATATAACGCACAACGTTTGATACAGTTTTACAAACTTTAGTTTTACAAACTTTACATTTTTTGATTATTAAATGTAAAGTAGTTTACTTAAATTTAAAAAAAACACTTTAAATTTAAATTTATTTAAAAATTGTATAAAGATATACTGCACACACACACAAAATATACATTACACAAATAGAAGTAATTTTATATAATGCATATCATGTTTTGTTAATTAATGTATGAATAGAAATATTTTGATAATGCATATTATATTTAGGTAGTTCTATTTTTTTAATTAATAAATGTAGAATTTATTTAAAAATTGCATAAACATATACTGCACACTCACACACACACAAAATATACATTACACAAATAGAAGTAATTTTATATAATGCATATCATGTTTTGTTAATAATGTATGAATAGAAAAATTTTGATAATGCATATTATATTTAGGTAGTTCTATTTTTTTTAATTAATAAATGTAAAATATTTTTTAATTAAATTTGGAACAAAAAAATACTAAATGTAAATTGAATTAAGTAGATTAAAATAACTAAATTAAGTCAATTATTATTTTAATTAAATAATAATTGCATGCGTGTGTTGTTTCCTGGAACACTTTCTTCTTTCTCATTTTTCATATAAAATAATGTGTTCCTCTAATTTAAAACATATGAATAGAATCATGTTCATTTCCTGAAAAATCAACATAAAAATGTTATTTGGTTCTGTAGTCAGTAATGAATAGTCTGTGCATAAATATATGCTGTATTCGTTAATTTTGTTATAAGGTATGCCTTGTACTATAATAGCATTAATACTGTTAGTATTCTTCATATTTTTCTTTGCCAATCTTGATTTATTTTTCAATTCTGTGCAGCACTTTTCCAAAAAGGGCCCGCAGCAATGTCAGAGAGGAAGCCCAAAAACTCAGATACACGTCCCAAGAACCTGCGGAGCTGGAGCGCTGATAGTTACATCTGCAGTATTAAAAAACGCTCCCGTGGGTCACGCCATGAGACAGAGTCCAGAGGGGAAGAGGGGGAAGGAACGGACGACCAGACTGTACGCTCTGCTTCTTGTCCCCGGAGACGTCGAGAGCGAAAGTGCAGCTGCATGATCCCTGGAGAAACGGATCCGGACTCTCCTTGCAGGAAAGCCCTGTCCCGCCGGTCCCTGAGGCAGAAGTTTCAAGACGCCGTCGGCCAGTGTCTCCCTCTTCGCAATCACCACCAGTCTGGTTCCTCACGTCCATTCTCCGTCCTTCTTTGGTCCAAACGGAAGATTCATGTGTCCGAGCTCATGGAGGACAAGTGTCCGTTTTCTCCGAAATCCGAATTGGCTCAGTGTTGGCATCTGATCAAGAAACATGGCACTCACACCAAACCTTCTTTAAGCATCGAAACCGAACCCAAAGGTCCCTTGTTATCCTCTTCTCCTCCAAAGCTCATTTCATGGGAAGAGATCAGCTCTACTGGGGCTTCTAGTCTGGATGACTGGGATCCGTCTTTTGCACATGGAGACACTCAGTGCTGCGCCCACACTGACTACATCCTGGTTCCTGATCTGCTTCAGATCAACAACAGCCCTTGTTATTGGGGTGTCTTGGATCGTTTCGAAGCTGAGCAGCTTTTGGAAGGGCAACCAGAGGGGACCTTTCTGCTCCGAGACTCTGCCCAGGATGAATACCTCTTCTCGGTTAGCTTCAGACGCTATAGCCGCTCCCTCCATGCTCGAATAGAGCAAAACGGGAAGCGCTTTAGCTTTGATGGCCGTGACCCTTGTATGTACAGAGATTCCAGTGTCACGGGCCTGTTGAAGCACTACAGTGACGCGGCCACATGCCTATTTTTTGAGCCTCTTCTCTCTCGCCCACTACCTAGGAACTTTCCTTTCTCTCTGCAGCACATGTGCAGAGCGGTCATCTGTAGCTGTACAACATATCAGGGAATTGACACCTTGCCTTTACCCTACAGTTTGAGACACTTCCTTAGGCAATACCACTATAGATGCAATGGAGCGTGTGCTGTTTGAAAACTGACAGAAATGAGACAAAACTCCATGTTGCTTGATTTGACAGATTGAAAGGCACAATAAATGTATTCAACACACAATATGGTGGAGGTAGTTACCATGCAACACAATGTTTCTAATGCAATTTTGTGAAAACCGAAGATATGCAGGACATCAATTGACATTTCTATACTATTAATTTTGTTTTTTGGCAGATTTTCTACTAGGCTATGTGAATTTGATTGGTCTTTTTATTGTTTTGTATTTCTCATCTGTTAATATACTTTATTTACTTTTGTATGCATTATAAAGTTCTGTGCCCTAGATCTTTAATGATAAAACAATAAATTAATTGAATTAATTAACCCTTTTCACATTTTTGGCATTCTCATAAGCAGAAGAAGTCATAATCGATTAAACTTCAAGAGTGGTGAACAGGAGATGACGGCAAAACATTTTGTATTCCCATTTACTCTAAATCCACTACAGCGTTTCCATGATTTTCCAAAAGAAGGGAAAAAATGTTGTTTAAAGGCTTAGTTCACCCAAAAATGTAAATTCTGTTATTAATTACTCACCCTCATGTCATTTCAAACCCGTAAGACCTTCGTTCATCTTCGGAGCACAAATGAAGATATTTTTGATGGAATCTGAGAGCTGTCTGACCCTGCATAGACAGCAACGCAACTGAAATGTTCCCAAGTCCAGAAACGTAGCAAGGAGATCTGTAAAATAATCCATGTGACATCAGTGGTTCATCCACAATTATACGAAGCTACGAGAATACTTTTTGTGCGCAAAAGTAAAAAAATAACGACTTTATTCAACAATTCGTCTCCTCCGCATCACCCTGCTGCCATTTTGGAGAATATCCGCTGGACGTAAACAACGCATGCTGTTCTGTGTCAGCTGCGTCACGCCGGATCTGTTTCCTACATTTTTGTGATTTGATTTGAACGGAAACAGCGTATCCGTGTGACGCAGCTGTTGTTTACGTCCAGCAGATATTCTCCAAAATGGCAGCAGGGTGATGCGGAGGAGACGAATTGTTGAATAAAGTCGTTATTTTTTTTCTTTTGCGCTCAAAAAGTATTCTCGTAGCTTCGTATAATTGCGGATGAACCACTGATGTCACATGGATTATTTTACAGATCTCCTTGCTACGTTTCTGGACTTGGGAACATTTCAGTTGCGTTGCTGTCTATGCAGGGTCAGACAGCTCTCAGATTCCATCAAAAATATCTTCATTTGTGTTCCGAAGATGAACGAAGGTCTTACGGGTTTGAAACGACGTGAGGGTGAGTAATTAATGACAGAATTTACATTTTGGGGTGAACTATCCCTTTAAAGCAGTCAGAGGAGAGAATTTGCCATCACTTCCTTTGCTGTTTTTTGGAACACTCTCACAGCAGTGTTTGTTTTTTGTAATTTACCGCCAAGTGAATAATCTATAACACAAAGTATAGCATTATAAATGTATATTATTATTTTTTTAATATGATAAACTACTACTAGATTTGCCATGTTAATAATACCCTTGCAAACGTGTCATGACATTTCTTTCATGATATGAATGTTGTTTCATCTATTGTAGCACTGATCAGATACCACTAGATGACAGACTTGTAAAACTGACTTGACACTTTCTAACTGCTAGATTATCTGTCTTGTATTTTAGAACTAAACAGTGCCTAAACCGTTTTTGTTTGAGTTGCAAAACCTTGTCAGAATATTATTTGATAGATCTGTCCAGTATAACCAAGCAGTATGGAAGCAATTCAACCAAATATTGTAGTTACACATTTTCAATAAAAACCAAGCAATAGAGTCAACCAGTTAAACTGAGATTGATTTGTTTCACTGTGCTATACCAAGCCTCCTCTCAGATTATGTTTGATCACAAGCGTCTACTGTGTGGCAATCTGGGGTTCACTGAAGTGCATAGACAAAATTAATCGAATGGCATGTATTGAAATGATTAAAAGTGAGATGTTCTCACTTTTAACAAAATGTGGAATGATCCTCTCTTACAACTTAGATTTAGTTATTAGAGATATTATGATGATTTAGCTAAAGGTCATTGTCTTTAGTACGTTTACTACATGTGCTCACCTTGGAAAACTGATTCTCAATAGACTGAGAAAGGAACCATTACTATTGATCTGCCAAACCCACTGATGTTAAATATTAATGTTCCTGAGATGATCAAATCTGCTTTATGAATTTAAGGTGGACCGTCTTTATCTTGAGCTTATACATTTATAGCGTATACCTTTGTGAAATATTGTAAGAATTTAGGCAAATGTTGCATTCATAATTAGAAAGCTACAGACACATTTTATACTATTGATTTCTGTTGTTGCTTTATTTATTTTTTCCCCTAATTCTCACAGAAATCTTTCTGCATTTTTAGATTTTCAATAAGGCGTAATTAATTTTTTTCTTGTTAAACTGTTTTGCTTGTGGGGGCCGTTGGCCGTCACAATTTAGGTGATTTCAGATTTTACTATGCTTTTAGGGACATTTGGTCTCTGCAATGTAGTCAAATCTGGACACACATTTACAAACATAAGGACAAAAAAACTAAATGATGCAGAAATGATATGCCCCAATGTGGCCATTAATCTTATCATCATAATATTTGGTGTTGCATTTCAGTCTACAAGCAGATACAAGAGCTGCTTCCTGGATTACATATCAGATTGTTCAGCAAACAGACAATGAGGATAATTTGTCTATTCTCTTGCACAGGACTAAACGTACAACCCCAGGCTGTATCACATTATTGATGCGTGTGTCTCATATCAGACAGTTTTGCTGCAGGCAGTTCCATTTGTTTGTTGTTTGTTAAGAACGACAACATTATTTTTACATGCACCTCGAACATTTTAAAATAATAGTAACCATTAAAAATGACTGACTGACTGATTCATATATAATAATAAATAATTATTTTTAGTTTATTTTTAATGTAGAATTGATGTATCTGTAACGTCAAGACACGTCAGACGTAGGGTGGGACTAATACTCTGACTCAGCCAATGAGTTTTGAGAAAAGTTGTACAGTCCGTCCCACTTTTAAACGTCACTGTGGTCAGCGCGGGAGATGTGAGCAAGTGTGTGGCGCTGAATATTGAGAATAACCGCCAAACTAAAGCTGTAAGTACTGCTTGATTAATATATGTATGGAACATATGTCGCTGCGTTGTTTTTCGATTATATTTGATTATTGTGACACATGTAGTCATTTGAAGACTTGTGTTTTTATTCCGCGGTTGTTGATGATTTTGCTTGTAAAGTAAGTTAGCTCACGTAGCGGCACATATGCACATAAGCTCTTTGTGCTTAAAATATTAAGTTATTTGTCTAAACTTGGGATAAAATTAGCTTACTTTTAGTGAAGGCTCTCTATGTTTGCATCACAAACCAGACATAATTAAATTTTTTGTCGAACAGTGTTGTTTGTACACCTGATCATAGACATTCTTTTCCTTGATACTTCATTTTGAGAAGGTGTGTGTGTGTGTGTGTGTGTGTGTGTGCGTGTATGTATGCGTGTGCGTGTATGTATGCGTGTGTGTATGTATGCGTGTGCGTGTGTGTGTGTGTGTGTGTGTGTGTGTGTGTGTGTGTGTG